GTGTGTGTGTGTGTGTGTGTGTGTGTGTGTGTGTGTGTGTGTGTGTGTTGGTGAAGTCCATAGGTTTACCACCTGTGTGTGAAGAAGCGTTTGGCCGTCTGACCAGCCGCCAGCCTGAACGTTTCTGGACATCTGGACAGTGGATGACTGAGAGACAAGGAGGATCTGATGTGGGTTAGTAGTGAAATTTTTTTTTTCATGTGAATCAGCGTCACCTTCATCTAACAGAAGAATAACCTTGAACTGAGGCTGTTAAATCCTACATTTATTCAGTTTTCACAAAAAGAAATTCTTGAAAATGCAACTATCTCATTCCGTTTTATCAGACGAGTTGTTTGTTCAGAATGTGGTTGGTGTGAGTCCTCAGAGCTGCCTTTTCATTTGCTTCCTCTTGTTTTCTTCAGGCAGCGGCACTGAGACTGTGGCCGTACCCCAAACAGACGGTTCATACAAACTGCACGGCTTCAAGTGGTTTACGTCTGCCACGGACGCAAATATGAGTCTTACTTTAGCAAGAGCTCAGGACAGCAGAGGAGCTACCACACCAGTACTGCTGACTTCTGCCAACTTCCCTCCACTGTCAAAAAATATACACATAAATTAAAACACTCCCAGTATGATTTCACTTTGCGTTTGTCTCTGTTTCACAGGGGAGCAAGGGGCTGTCTCTGTTTTACGCAGAGGTGAGTCGAGACGAGGACGGCCTACTGAGGGGAATAGAAGTTCAGAGACTGAAGGAGAAACTGGGAACACGACAGATGCCGACCGCTGAGTTACTGCTGGATGGCCTGCCTGCACACAGAGTCAGTTACACACAGTTGTTTGTTACACTCGTAATAAACTGTGGACTTGTGCGCTTCCTGTTGCAGATGTGTTACAAGAAAACTAAGTTGTTTCACTTTGCTTATTTCAACACACGAGGGGGATGAGACGAACCTTTCTGCTGCTTCTCTGCTTTTTGAGAAAAGAGATTTTGACCACAAGAAGACTACAGATGAAACAGATCGAATCTATTAGCGYTCTGTTTTCCATCTGACTTTCCAAATGTACAAAAGTGCTTTTATTAGGCCTCTGCTGTATCCCCACTGTCCATCTTACCAAGTTTTAAAATCTTATATCCAGCCAAAACGTCTTTTTGATCTTGTTTTGAGACTGATTTACTAGACAAGAACTGATTGTGTAAGAATAACAATCTTGTTTTCAGAATGTGTAAGATTATTTGTCTTGTTAGTACGGTGGCCCTGAAGGGCAAATGCAACAACATTTCAAAAAACACAACAACCACCATATGTTAACCTGAAAATCTGACTCAAATTAAGTCAAAAATTTCTGCCAATGCAGTAAGAAAATTTCACTTGGTAAGATTCTTGAAATAAGAAAAAATTGAGTCAAATCAAGTATTTCAAGGATCTTACCAAGTAAAATTTTCTTACTGCATTGGCAGAAATTTTTGACTTAATTTGAGTCAAATTTTCAGACTAACAAGACAAATAATCTTACACATTCTGAAAACAAGATTATTATTCTTACACAATCAGTTCTTGTTTAGTAAATCAGTCACAAAACAAGATCAAAAAGACTTTTTGGCTGGATATGAGATTTTAAAACTTGGTTAGGTGGACATTTTTTGCAGTGAACAATTTCTGAGAAAAGTTTCTGTATGCAGCTGAAGGGAGTGGCAGAGGTTTCAGCAGCAGGAATTGCAAGTTTTCAGGTCAGCAGGCAGGAGATTAAAATCAGCCAATGGCTAGCTTTGAGGAAATGCAACGCTCCTATTTTTCACTTCATATTTTCATATTTTAAATGGAGTCAGTACTTACAGGTGAGACATGATTCATAATCCAGAAATGTTGGTCAGTTTTGCAGCCTCTCATGGTTATCTGCCTAAACATTCATCTCAGATAAGAGCCACGTTGTTCTTATTTGGAGTTTTTCTGCTTTAAGTGGAATATTATAGTACTAATTAGTTGTTGGGTTAGTAAATGTAAAAAAAAAAAATCCACCAACTGAAGCTTTTTACACTAAAAGTAAATCACGCAATATGTGAGATAAAACTGGGATTAAATATTTCACAAGCATTTTACTGATTTGTGTAATTTTCTTTCCTTGAGCGTTATACTGTATTTTAAGAAAACACAACCTATTAAAATCATATTAAATAAATTTTAGAGGCAGCTCCTGTTTATATCGAAAAGCTTCATAGTTAGAAGCTGAAAATTATCCAAGATTACTTAAAACTTTTGACCTTTTCCAGACTTCTCCTTTTCTTCTATGCTCCTCTGTAACAGCCTGTTTGGTTTTAAAATGCATCTTGTATCTAAGAGAAAGCTTTTTTTTGTCATTTATAGTGAAATTAGATGGTCTCTTTAGCTTTATTATTCATTTAAATTTTCAATATTCTGACTTTTTTTCATCAACAGCTCTCAGAAGAAGGGAGAGGTGTGGCGTCCATAGCGAACATGCTGACCATAACCAGGATTCACAACAGTGTGTCTGCAGTAGCTGGGATGAGAAGGCAGGACGACCCTTCATTCACTTTCTAAAATCCAGTCAGAAGTAAGCTGATCAGCTGATGTGTGGATTTGTGTTTTGTTTTTGTTACAGAGTTGTCCTGTTGGCRCGTGACTACGCCACTCGCCGCACCGTTTTCGGAAAGCTTCTTAAAGACCACCCGCTGCACGTTCARACTCTGGCRCGGATGGAGGTAAAGCAGCAGCAGCAGCTGGTGGGCTGCTCAAACTCCCGATTCCCATCATCCCTCACTTCCTCCTGACTCATTCCCATCATCCCTCACTTCCTCCTGACTCTCGACAGGTGGAGACTCGTGGAGCTTTTCTCCTGGTGATGGAGCTGTGTCGCCTGTTGGGTCGAGAAGAGAGCGGCCTGGCCAGCCAGCTGGACGCCCACCTCCTCCGTCTGCTCACCCCCGTGGTCAAGCTGTACACGGGGAAGCAGGTAGGTGCGCAACACTTAAACGTGATATTAGATTTATTGTTCTGAGAGTTTTCTGTTTTGCTGTTTCTGAGCCAGGCAGTAGCTGTCATATCGGAGGGTTTGGAAAGCTTCGGCGGACAGGGCTACATCGAGGATACAGGGCTGCCTGGAATGCTTCGTGATGCACAGGTGACACTGCTGTTAAAGTGATGTMATTTTTTAACGTGCTCTAGGCTCACCGTCGTTCCCTATTGCAGGTGCTGAGTATATGGGAAGGTACAACAAACGTTCTATCCCTGGATGTGCTGCGCTGCGTGGCTCGTAGCTCAGGAATGGTCCTGCACGCCTACTTCACCCACGTCAAGGTGCGATCTGGCGCAGCAGGTTCACTTCCTTTAATAAGCTGGACTTGAGCAGGAATGTTAGGTCAATTTATTTTTTATTGTTTTTGTAGTCGCTGCTTGCAGGCGCCTCTAGTGTTTCCTCATTAACCCCAGCTGTGAAAGCCGTTGGCGGCGCTCTGTCTGAGCTRGAGGAGTTTGTTCAGGTGGCTGCTTCTAAAGGACCAAACTACCTGGAACTAGCATCCAGAGACCTGGCATACAGCTTGGCTCGCATCTACGCAGGTGGGTACTACGCAGGTGGAGGAAGTGCTGATACAAATCAATCTGAAGGGGTTACCTCAGYGATTAAATGATTATCTTCATAGTTAGTGTTTAAATATTTGGCTTAATCTCTGTACAATGATGATTTATCAGTGTGCGCTTGTTATTTTGTTCAACAGGTGCGCTTCTTATTGACCACGCTTGTTGGAAAGAGGCCTCTCCACACGACACTTACGCAGCTCTCAGGTATGTTTAACACATTTTTAAATATCTTGGAAGAAATAAAACACGTTTGATATTTATTCAACGCGTCGTGTTTTTATTTTTTTTTCTCGGTCAGGTGGTGTGAACAGGACTTGTGTCTTGTGGTAACTAAACAGAAGAGCGGCTGTTATGAGTCCAGCACGGCACCCCTCGACTCTGGGCTGGTTTATGAGTAGCTGATTTAAGAGCTATCACTGAACACTGATCTATTCACGGCTCGATCTGAATTGTTAGTTCTTAAATGTAATATAATGACACGCCATTACTAAATTTGACTGTTTTGTTTGTGTTAATTTCTGAGAATGTATTTATTTTAAAAAAATCTGTACTAAATGAGCGTAACAGGGATGATCTTTTGATGTTCTGTTTGCACCTTTGACCTCAGTGCATATGAATTATTTGCTTCACAGCTACAGTATATTCAGTCCTACAGTTACTGAAAGGTGACAGCAGTCCAACAGATTACCTGCATTTCAGGTCTGATATTATAGGTTTACTTCCTGTAATTTTGGAATAAATAATAGTTGTTTTGGGCTTTTGTGAGCAATGAGTGAAAACATTTTTTGTCCTTTCTGTAAATTATGTTGATCAGTTTTACTGTGTGAGAAAATGTAAGCACAGCATGCTTTGTCTTAATCACCTATARTAAAATATGCTGTTTGAATACAGTTAAATGCAAATCAAAGTATGTTTTCTAAATTTCTCTCTAGTTTTTGTATTTGTTTTTTCAGTAAATGTAATGAATGACATATAGTCTAATACTTGTAGGTTAACTAATTGCAGAGTTCAAAGTAAAATACTGATCTTTCTCCAGTATACTTAGATGGGTTATCTGACTGAATATTTAGAATATTGTTATTCTGATTACAGTAAGTTCAAGCACACCTAAAATCATGATCACACAAATAATCATCATTTTGGTGATATTTCAGGGTTTAAATGTTCATTGTGCAGCTTTGCAGTTTGTTTGTTTTGTTTTTTTTTTACTTTTTTAATGCGCCCATTGGACAAAACAATGAAGAACTTGTTAATTTAACATTGTCACACTAAAATACAAATTTTATGGGCTGCAATTGATTGGTAATCGGTTTTTCTGGCTTTCAGTATAAAACTATTGTCAAAWCTTTTAAGCAAAATTGCTCATTGCCCTGCAGAAGGGGACAAAAAAAATTATTTTCTTAAACGAAACAGTATGTGTGCTTTAGCTCACGCAGTAAAATGTAAATAATGTATTTATTCACTTGTTTTGAACACTGCGTAGTCCTTGAATGCAGCACATTTCTATTGGCTAACAGTGGGTGGAGCTTCAGAGTTGTTGTTTTTTTACAGTACACACCAGTGTACATGATACAAAAACAAGAAAACACCAGGGAGAGCACAACTTAAAATGTGATAAAAAAGAAAAAAAAACATACAACATTCTTCCATAAAAAAAGAAAATAAATACATAGATTAATAAAATAAAATAATGCTTGTAGAAAACAGGTGCCAGAAAGCCTCATGTTAAAATCAAAGCAACAAATGATCCAAAGTTTTAAGTTGGGAACAAGCCCCTATTGTTGTTGTGGCTTTTTGATTTGTAGAAGGCCTAATTGTAATCATACTGTTTAAACTCAACCAAAAAAAAAAAAAAAAACAGAAAAAATGGTTTTCTCTTCAAAAATTTGCATTTGTGTAAGTGAAATTTAGCCATGATGATTAATAAATTGATAAAGATGACATTTGGATTCATTTTCCAGTCGTGTTTCCAATATCCTGTTGATATTTTTGACTCAACGTAGTCACAAAAATGTTGCCAAAATACTTTAGAATAAGAACACATCCAGAACAAATGAATTTCTGAGCAAACATCACAAAAGGTACAGTTTACAGCAGTGTTAGAGCTGAACTTCTTTAGGTAGTCTTTATCAAGATAAACTCTGTGTAAAAGTTTGAAGGTCACTTCTTTTATCTTGTTAGTGATTAGGGAGCAACCAAGTAAATTTCCAAGATGTATTAAGCTAATAGCGATTCCAATTTGATACAACAGCAGAAGTCACCTCCTGAAACAGAGATCTGATTGACTTATTGTTACGAGGAGAAAGGTTAAAACATATTTTGCCAACAGGAGAATGTATGGGAATAGGAGAAAAAATTATTCTTGGCTTCTGTCTGAACAACAAGCAGACAACATCTCTGTAAAAATAGCGCCAAAATTTTTTGCATATTCTCCAGAAGAAATAGGAGTATTAACTTTCATAATTCAATAATTTTCCACCAGATTCAGAGTTGAGTCATTGAACGCAGCTCAGTCCGGCTGCTAACAGTGGGCGGAGCCTCAGAGTTGAGTCATTGAACGCAGCTCAGTCCGGCTGCTGACAGTGGGCGGAGCTTCAGAGTTGAGTCATTGAACGCAGCTCAGTCCGGCTGCTAACAGTGGGCGGAGCCTCAGAGGTAAACTCTCTGGGCACGAACCCGATGTCGGTGTGAAAAACAGTCAAGAGTAGCTGTCAGCGGAACATCTATGACGTTGTTGACTTTAGATTATTTCTCGTATCGTTTTTGGCTTGAGTAAAGCTGCCAGGTCCACTATAACGCAGCGTCGGGATGGACGTGGCTCCAGGATAAAGTGAATCATGGCTTTTATTAGTGTTTTCCTGACCGTTTTGCTGGCGGTGCTGTGCAGCCAGCGAGCTGCCGCCGCCGCCGCCAGCTCCCAGACCTACAGCAACCGAACGGACTCTTTGACCATCATGTCGGTGAACAACAACGATGAGGTCAGTGAGATTATTTGTCAGAGCACACCTTTAACCTTAGCGTGAGAATTAGGTTTGCGTGGTTCKTGGTTTATTGTGCTCAGCTGTCACATGATTAAGTCTGTTAAATCGGTTTAAACTAGTTTCTGTCACCAACATGTCGTTTATACAAAGTGTACAGTGTATAATCGTATAGGAACACAATGCTTTTAGTGGTGCGTTGCGCCTGAATGTTTAYGTAATTTAATCCTTTACGTGTAAACATATCAGTATTCCAGGGCCACTATTTATAGATTATTTTTGTGAATATAAACCAGCAAAAATAATGTGATTCCTCCCGTGTTTCTTTAATTCATGTCTTAGTTGTGTGTAATGTCTAAAATTAAGATTTAATCCTGCAATAATTCTTATTAATAATAATGAAAGATATGCAAAGAAAATAAAGTGGATTTTGATGTAGTGTTGTGTATCAATTTAACAGCACAAAAAATATAAAAATAAAATTTTGATATCAAATACATTCCCTCTGGCTGCATTGTCACTAAGYGGAGTTCACCCCTTATTGTTGATATTTAGTGCAATTTGTTTGCCTGAAAAGTATTTAAAATATCTAAATTTACTTTATAATTTCTCTTTATATGACTGTCATGTTATCAGCTATTTTAGTAGCAAGGAAGCATGCAGTGAAAACTGGATAAC